GATAGATCAATAAACAGATATAGAGATAGCTAGAGAGATAGATAGAAAGAGAGAGAAAGAGACAGAGAAACAGAAAGAGAAAGAGAAAGAGAGAAAGAGAGAAAGAGAGAAAAAGAGAGAGAGAGAGAAGCAAGGGGCCAAGGACAGTTCTCCAAACTATAGTTGTTCACTGCTTTGAAACTTCCGCCCCCCGGCTCTGCCGGACCTTACTTGTATCCCTTCAATATGGTGTAATCATTGTTTGAGGCCAACATTGAGATGCCAGATTATGGGAGATTGTTTCTTACCTGCTGCAACCTTCAACCTAGACAGCCTGGACGCAGGGTTGGAAGGAGTCGGAGCAACTTTCCGCCGTTCACCATATCAACTGTTGTTTGTTTTTGTGTGCTTGATTTTCTGGGGCCCAGACATATTTCAGTTTTCCTGCGTTCGACTGGCGCCATTGTGTTGCGATGTCAAAGGGAAGTGGCCTAACCCTGCAACCGTTGCACACCCCATCCTGGCCCAACGTTTAAAACACTGCACGTAGTCTTTTCTTTAATGCCTAATTTGGATTCTAAGTGGGAGATAGGGCAAAAGAATAGTGATGCTCACGAGCCAATCCCCAGGCTTGGCATCGCTTGCGGGACACAGCCCAAGTTGTTTCTAGTTGCCAAAACACTTGCCAGTAATGTTGACCCCATATTCATCAACCCCATAGCGGGGTGTCACTAGGTTTAGTGGGGAATCACCACTTTTGGAGGGGAACACTCATATTCATAAACTGAGGTTGATTAATTTTGGGTCAACATCATGGGTTTCTCTGAAAGATTGCCAGTCTTTGGGATGAGGTCGCCTGGCACTTGTTTGCAAACCAAAGGGTTTTCTGCTCAAAGTCATGTTTCAGGCAGATCGCAATATGTTTTGGATTCCGGTGAGTGCTTTGGTTTGGCTTTCACTCAGGCTTGTGTCTTTACCAAAGAGGCAACAAACCAAAAACACAGCATGTCTACAAGAAGCACCCGGATGGCGGTTGGTGCGGTTGAACTTGTAGACTGGTTTGCCAATCTGTACCTTGTTGATTTGCCATAAACCTGTGGAAGCGTCCTAGAGTGGCCTGCGCGACCTGCTGGCTTCTGAGCTTGGGGTCTTGTTCGGGCTCGGTGTTCTGGGCGGTCAACATGTTGATATATAGAGATACGTAGATGTTTGTGTATGAGTCTGATTGTTGTCATGTACAATCATGATAACGATTGTTGTGAATTCGGCTCTATCAAAATGTTTCATGTTGTGGGTGAGTGCTTCATCTTCAAATACATACTGTGGGTGGACGAAATTCCGCACCAATTTGAAACCATAGCAAACCATTGTTTGTTGGTATTTGCAGGGGAAGCATCACCCTAGGTTTTTTTTTTTTTAGCTGGTGCGAAATGGATTTCGTCCATCCACAGTAGTGCTCTGCCTTGTACTTGGCGCGTGTTTTCTGGATCGCTTTCCCCAGCCTCGACTTTCGGCAGGACGAAGAGGAGCGAAGGGAAACCGAGCGGGCGGCAGCGTTTGGGGGGTGCTGGTAGGCTGTTGGCAATTTGAGGAGTTGGGGCCCCCGTGTGTTTTTTCTGGAGTCGGCGCCCTTTTCACCTTGGTTTGAAGTGAAACCAAAAGGAGAAGCGAAGGCATGTTTTCGGGTCAATTCCTTGACATTCCCAAATCTAGAAATCAGTCCGACCTGTATTGTTTCATGGTGAAGGGCGCCCAAGATTGGGCGCTGACACGGCCATGTGCTGAGGTCAAGAGCATCCATGTGCTCGTTGCTCACATTGTCCCCTAAAGGGAGCTGCGACATGCTGCTAGTCCGCTAGGCACTCGAAAGTCGGCCAAAGGGCGCTTTTGGTGCTGGATGCAATTGCCGGATTGCTGATTTTTTGAGGGCACGGAAATCAAGAGTTACTGAGTTGCAACCGTAAGCTGTCTTGGGAAGGCCATCGCTTGACCATGCGTCCAGAGCGTCCGCAGGAGCGGCACAAGCTCAAAAAGGGCCTGAAGAGCGCAGAGGTCCGTTCGGCTGGGCGAAACATCGGGGCCGGTTGGAAGAGGAAGCCAGAGCAGTTTCCATTTTCCCCTTCTAATGATTCCTCAAAGCATCGTTTGAGCCACCAAACACTAAGTGCTTTTTGCGGTCCCAGAAAGGCAAATCACATTTTGGAAGCTCCTCTCTCGTAGTTTCGGTGACTCTCAAGCTCATTTCGTGACGCGATTGAGATCTTGTGCTCCAGCTGCCCCGGGCACCTACGGACAATTTAAAAACCCCCTTTGGCCAAGCAAAACGAGCTTCTCTTTGCAGGATCTCCACCAAGTCCATTGATGGAAAACCACGACATGCTGTCCGGGTCCGTACAGGTCGTTTGGCACCAGCCTCGCAGGAATTGTTGGATGGCGGCGGATCTGACGACTTCCCTGAGGTTGGGACGGCAACGGTTCGAGGGAGGTGTGAACCGCGGCAAGCTGTCTTTGTGATCGGTTTTTCCATGAACCGATCCCAACCCTTCCTACCCAAGCCCACCCTCCAAGCGTGTTCTTTTCACACGCTAGCCTTTTTGTTTGAGCAGTTTGTTCCTTGTCACACGCCTTACTGAGCCTTGTTGAGCCTTACCAAGACTCACTCAACATGATGGGTTTTGAGCATTGCTCAGGCTTAGTAACTCCTAGCCAGTCCTTGGCAATCCTTGGCAAGCATTAAGTGGCTCTATCAAGAACGTGCATTCCACAGCTTTTGCCTCGAGTAGTAGTTTTCTCAATTTGGGTGGGGGGAGCTTGGGTAAGGGGGGGGGGAAAGGGACGGGGGGGGGGTGGGAGAAACTTTAGGTGTTCGATGTTTCAAGGGATGACTTCTCGCAATTTCAGCAAGGGGCATACTTGGATTCGATTCCAGACACCAATGTTTTGTTTGACTTGGTGTCTGTTGGGTGAGACGTTTGCGGACCACACGCAGGCTCCAAAGTTCCTGAATCTGCCGACTCTTACTGGAGTTGCGGAGGGAGGGGGGTCGGGGTCCAACGTCAAAACTCGTTTGGTTCTATTACTGTCCTTTCTTAAAAAGTAGAAAACATATCGAGCGTACAGCCCTCCCAAACACCTTGCGGGTATATCACGGGCCTGTGGTCGAACGCCGCGCGTTCGCAGGATTGGCGCCTCGGCTCGCAGTTGGCCGGCCCTTTCGGGGGGAGGAGGTCCCACTGGCGGAATTTGAACAGTAAATTACATTTATACAATCACAATTATGGTTGGTTTGTATAGAATGATTGGTGTTAGTGTATTGGATTCAACACCAAACCTTCTTTGTTCCTGCACCACGCCAGTGTTTTGAGAGTTCCAAAGAGATTCGAGGTCGCCGACGCTTCACAAATTTCACCGGTTGCAGCGTTTCATGGCTGATGCCTTTTATCCCATGTAATGTGCTCCAACAGCCTCGCAAGATCAGGCCTTCTTTTCATCACCAGACTTCGCCGGAGCAGTCGCATGGATCCATTTTCCATGGGATGCTGGGTGTGGCCTTTCCGAGAAGCCAGGTTCCCTAGATGCCTGAGGAACAAAACATATACCCGAGGGAAAGCCGCCCAAGGAGAATCGTTGCCCCTCAAGAAGGCCTATGTTCATCATGATCTCCGATCATTTCAAGCGTGCCTATCAACAGGGAGGATGATCTCCAGAGCACGTGATCCAAAGCACTGACCGTTGGGTAAGGGAACAAACAATTACACATGTTTATCCCATGATCATGCATTGTGAGTGTGTGTGTGTGTGTGTTTTGTAAAGGACCCAAAAAATCATGTTGTTCCTTTTGGTGTCCCGTTATAGCTACCCCAAAAGAGTACCCTCGCAAAACATGCACACAGAGTTGGTGTTCTGCTACCCGCAGAACCCCATCCGAATTGTCCAAGGGCCTTGTGCCAATGATCAGGACCGTGGCTTCCGCGAATCTTTCACGGCGTTTGATGCATTCAAGGAGACGAAGTAAGCAAAGCCATCGGTCCATTGGGTTCCTGTCACCACGATGGTGCACGATTACGCACATAGAATGATGTAGTGAGTACTGCTGATGTAGTAGGCGTACATGTAAGAAAAAAAGAAAACATAGCATGTATATATATATATATATATCATTCATATAGCGAGCTCAGCGGCCGCGGCAAACAAGGGTTTCTCAAACCTGTTGGGATTTCTTGGTTCTTTCTCTGTGCAGCGGGACTTCAAACAGCAAAAGGGGCTTGGATTAGAGAACCTGCTGCTATTTCAATGAGCCACGGGGGGATCAAGTCGGCAGAAGTTGGGATGTCAGAGCCTGCTGTAACTTCTACGAAGGAAGGATTCGAGTCGAGGGAGGTTCTGGCTCATGCGCACTCGGATTTCTCAAACCTGCGTGGTTTTCAGCCTTTTGGAGCCCTGTGGCCGGGATTTGAGAAGCAGAGTTGACACCTCAATGAGAGGGGGGATCGAGCCAATGATTGAAGTTGTTTTGGAGACCGATCAGCAGAAGTAGCTGGGATACCAGAACTTTACTACGGAGTGCTCAGGGCTTTACGGGTTCAACAACGACAAAACCAGCAGTGTTGGAGATATTTTCTTTGGAAAGGCCGGCATTGCCTGAGGAAATAGCAGTTTTCCTCTCCGTTTTGTTCACAAAGAGGCGGGCTCAAATTGTGATTTGCGAGGTGACCTTTATTTGTGCGAGGCAACTTGTTTTTCTTCAGAACCAGGTTATCATTGCTACACATTGTGCACATATAAGCATATGACATACATATATATATATATATACATTTATATATATATATATATATATATATATTATGGACACAACCTGGGTCGATGCATGGGTTCCCATACATATATATATATATATCTACACAGATGTGTGTTTTGCATATTGCCTAAACATCGCGTTGGGTAAACTGATTCATTCGCAACTGCGTCTCTTCGGCTGACGTCTCAGGCTGGGATCCGTAGAGTTGCGGATCGCGGGCATGCCTTTGGCCTGGAAGGCGCGAGCCCCGTCCATCGAAACCGCGGAAACCGGCGGTTCCGAGGTAACACGGGACGCAACACCAAAGTGCACGGCTTATACATCATTCATGTAGATGGTTCCGAGCCATCCGGTTCTTTAGGTTTTGAGGTTTCTAGTTGCTTTAGTGGGTTTCCGTTTAACCGACTAAACGGTCCTTCCTCAGACACAGTCCTTCGCTTTTGGGAGTTTTTTGGGGGTCCCCACAAGGTCGACGAATCCAGGTCGACATTGCCAACTCAGAGAGGGCCAACCGATGTTGGAATCCCAAAGTTTATTGGATTGACGGATAGGATCCTTTGAACGTCTTCATGGGCTCCATGGGCTAACCTCTTCCTATCCAGACGAACATGGAAGCTCCCGAACACCTAAGACCTCATTCCAATTACAGATGCCTTCTGGGAGCCACCAATGGCTTAATGCTTGTCCCAGGCATCTTACTTACACAGAAATCGATGACACGCCAAAGATGCAAAGAAAACTGTAGCGGGGTCATTGTGCAACCCAGGTGGACATGCCAAAGGTCCAGAACCACAAGCGCTACCCGGTTGCCAAAGATTCCCGCGCAAGCTTGAATCGCGGGATCTGTAGGAAGCCATGACTTGGCCATGATTTTTTAGAGAGTCCCCACCTACATTGCGTCTACCATGTTGACATTCACTCCCATTTAGGGCATCGCTCCAGTTTTTTGTGGTGGGAAAGGGCCGCCGCGCCTTCTCCAGGAAGCGGAGGCCACGGTTCCCCGACGGTTTCAGAAACCGTCGTGCCAGGTGATCAACGCGGTCCTCATACTTTTGCCGAAGATGTTGGTGTGGAAGCTGACTGTGCAAACAGGCCCGTTTGTGCTGGGCATGCAGGCTTCAATGCTCGGTGCATAAACCGTTTGATTAGGATTAAGCACCTAGACTCCCACGTCCTTCTGCTAATGAGTTGAATCATGGAATTCTCAGGAAGCACTTGCGGGAAGCACCTGGAAGTCTGTAAATAGCGGCTTGCGTGAAGTTGCTGTGTTTTCAGCATGGCCCTTGCCCAGATTCGTTTCATTTGAGCTCGGGTATCCAGTTTCAAAAAGGACATGGACATCGAGGTGTCGATATGTCTGGCCAACTTCTTTTTCAACAGTCCTTGAGAGGCAACTCGTGGATATATGCCCGAAACGGTTCACATCCTCAAAACCCGGGTAGATGAAGGCTAGTAAGGGACAAGCCATAAATGGGTGCAGCCGCCTTTTTGATTCATTGCATTGTTCTGGGTAGACCAGTTCAGTACCATATTTTGATTGTGACTTACTTGGCAATTCAGTTGTCTCACGCCAAGCGTTCGTTTTAGGAAGCCCCATGTCGGGCCTGGCAGACCACTCAGTGTGCTGAATCATAGCACCCGTTTTCAGAGAGCTGCTCTTCGAAGGCATGCCTTGTTGAATTGGACAGCTGCTGGGATTGCTTGCCGCAAGATGTTGGTTGAGTTCACAAGGAAGACCTGCTTGATTCAGGGAATTCTGTGAGATCGTCACGCTCAACCCCGAAGAACACAGTTGTGGCCACGGGGGTCTTTGAATCCTGCGCAGGCGTGGTGTTCTTAATGGAAACAGCGTCCATCAGCGATCTCGTCGTCAATTCCATCGCGCTGACGTTCATTTTGTCCATCGATGAGATGATATGCGTCTCGGCACAGGTCTGGTTCTGTGGGTATCTTGATGGGCGTATCTTTTCTTTGAGGGCACTCGGGTACCCCGTTTTTTTTTTTTTTTTTTTAATGGTTTTAAGGGAACCAAAAGAACAACCACCATTTTGGGCTTCCTCTAACAAAAGACACAAATGTAGCGACATAGCGGGTGTCCCTTTCGAACTCTTACCACATCAATCCTTGTCGCCGAGCATTTTTTGTATGGCACAACGGGTCCGTCTTGTTTTAAGGGATCCTTCTGCTTGGTTGTTTTAAAGGGACACCAAGAAAAAAATCACGTATTTGTTTGGGGGGGTGGTCCAGCCTAAAAGAAGAGACACCCCACTCTTGCCTGGTGAGTTGCCTACTTGCTGCTCGGTTTCGCGTGCAAAGGCGAGACCTTGACTTCCCAGTCGACCTTGTCAATGCTCGCGCGGTGCAAGGACTATCCACTCTTCGAGAAAGAGGTGGGGAAAGGACTGTAAGGGAACCCCATTTTGGGACAAGGCAAATCGCAAGGATATCAATGATATATGGGGGTTGATCAAAAAGTCCTTTACATGGAATGACCATCAAGAAAACCACACAAAAAGATGACTTTCACCACAAAAGGGGAACAGTTACCCATAGTCATTTGGCATGTATGTGCAGGGCCACATGTGATTACTTATTACATTTGTTGTTTGATTAGCCAGAAGCCATGGCTCGTCGCTTCTTGAATGTAGAAGCGAAGATTCCCTCGCCAAAGGTTTTGCATCAAAATTGCTCTGCAGACAGTCCTGACAGCCCCCTGGCCCCGCTGAAGGTTTGGGCAAGAGACAAAGAGATCTGCTGAAAGTAAGGAAAAACAGAGGTACACAGCCCTCCCTGCATTTTCGACGCGACTCAAATCTGGCCGTTCACGGATGGATTTCTTGGTTCTGACTTAGTCCAGGATGCGACCCTTCAGCTCAGTCGACTTCCCTTTGGAAAATCGAGTAGCCACCAACTGTGGTCCCTACAGGATAACCACACCTGTAACATGAACTTGCAACCTTTGAGCACGCGTAGCTCGCAACTTGGGGTTCAGACCCATGGTTTCTGGGCGTTTTTGGGCCTGCAAGAAGCCAATTTTCCAGTTGAGCCACCTCACGGACGAAGAGATCGAGATGCGCTACGGTGGAGACAAGCTGGAGGAAAAGCTCAGAACCTTGCAAAAGTCCAAGCCCCCATTCGAGAGGTGTTTTGCACACGAAACCCAACTATTTGTTGGGTCCCGGACCCTAAAAGGAGCTTCCTCTGAGAGAGACATGGGCGTTTTTCAGGTTCCGAAGTTCCATCAGAAAAAGCAGGAATTTGCCATCTACTTTTACCCAACTGTAGCTCTTGAGGCCGGGTGGTAGAAACTTTGCAGTGCAGGTTCCGGCTTTAGGGTTGAGGATTTTTCAGGTTTTGGCTTAGTCAGGGTTTTAGCATGTTGCTTGAGGCTTTTCGGATTTAGGTTTCTGTTTAGGTTCGGGGTCTTTCGGGCATTGGCTCGGATTCTCAGGGTTTAGGCTTCGGGAGTTCGGGATGTGGTGGGTTTAGGTTTTAGGGTGTTCAGGGTTTAGGCTTTTAGTTTAGGGCTTGGGGCTGGGAATGAACCAAAAGGGGATTCCCCGAAAGGACACCGCAAGGCATTGTTTATCAAGGGTCATTCCCTCATTCCCTGCTGGGCACCAGCATTCCATTTCGCATTCCCTGCCTATCGAACCAGCAAGTTTCTGTTTCTGAGTTTGCAAGTCTGTGAACCGGGAGCCCATTCCTACCAGTAGCTACTTAAGCCCTAGAGATCCTTGTTGATGCTGACTTGTTGTATTGAACATCCTTGAAATTCTTTGGTGCAAGGGTGTCCAGGTGTGGCCTTCTACTGTAAGGGGACAGTGACCCGTCATTTGGCTGTGTGTCAAAGTCGGGGCTTTCTGCAAACATGGTGCTTCTGTGGTTCCAATTGCTTGTTTCGAACTTTAAAGGTGCCAGCAAAGCGGGGGGCTCTCAGTGTGATACACGCACGGCTGAACCCAACTAGCGCTGGTTCCGAGCAGCGCACATCGTATCGACCAAGTGTTGTTTGACTATGCTGTGTACGCCTCAACAACATAGCAACACACTGTTCCCTTTTATCCGAATTCGTGTACAAATCTAAGAAAGCAACAGGTGCTGCGATGCAGGTTTGCCAGCCATAGTCAATAAATGCCACAAAGGGGAAACCTACTGCAATCCACATGTCTCCATGGAGTCACTCACCGCATGCCGGTTGGAATGGGTCAGGGTGTGACCCCGAAGCCCCCGGCGTGAATCAACATGTGCCAAAGGGCCGTGCGTCGCTGTAGCAAGGGAAGAGCCGTACCTGAAAAATGCTGTGAGCAAAGCCTGGAATCAAAGCATTCTTGAAGTGAGTGAGTTAATCGGACAGGCAATCCATGTTGCCCATTGAGGCTCGACGCAGTCTGCTAGGCACGATTGGAGCTTTGACACTGGTCCATCCTTCCGTGGTAACTTGCGGTGTTGCCTGCAATCATTCTAAGTTGGGAAAACTCACAGAAGGCAAAGCGTCCTGAACCCCGGAATCCTTCCCCCTTCACTCGCATGGTTTATTTCAGGCTGGTTGAATGGTTGCCTTTTCCGAATTTGTTCAGCCATGGCCCACCGAGGACTGAGCGATATAATTTCAATTATATTTCCAACCAGAGTCTTGGCAGCAGAGGTCAGAGCACAGGCACCGGTCTCTTGGAGCTGTGGAGAGACCATCCATTCTAAGGATTGGTGTGTGCAGCGCTCAGCCTCCAGCTGTTTTGAGCACTTGGTGCATTTGCGTCGCCAAGCCGTGCGCTCTTTCGCGTGGGCGTTTTTGTTTTTTCTTTCCCCCTCTGGACCACTTGGGTGGGGGGGGATTCTTCATCTTGGTGAAGGCCGGCCATGGCCAAGTTGCCAAGCGATGTTCTTTTGGTTTGCCAGTCTTGCCGCAAAGGCGCGACTGTAGAAGCACAACTCAAGCGGAGGTTTTGATGGCGCCGAACCGAGGTGTGATTGGCATCACTGTGTACTTTGTTTGGAGCTACTTGGCAGAGACCAGCACTTCCGGTGCGCAAAATAGACAGCAAACACAAGGCGTTGACACCGGGCTTGACAGGAGGTTGTGGGGTTGTCCTTGTGAGACTACATCGATGGAATCAATTGCCCCCAAAATTGTACGGATCCTCTTCAAGGCATGCCATACTTCTCCCTCCAATGGTGGCAACCCCCGAGAAGCTCATCACCAAGCCTACGCCAAGCCTTTCCGGCTGTGCGGTGATGCCTCCACATGCTCCATGAACTCCTGGACAGAAATCCCGACCCGGTCGGAGGGACTGTGTGGCGACTGAAATGGGCTTCATCGTGAGGGTGTTCCTTATTTCTCCAAAAGTTCCACGTAAAGGCGGCTTCTGACACACCAGGACGCCAATCTGAGCAATGAGAAAGACCGTTCTACCAGGTGCTCGAGTGCTGTTGGCCGTTCCCCTCCACTGGTTTAGGCTCTTACTATGACCCCAATTGCCCTGTGGACTGTTTACCCTCACGTTTTTCAGCAGTCCATGGGCAGAACCACCTGCGAATCGCAGGCTAAAGTGGACTCAGTCAATGGCACAAAACTGTCAAGCCGTTTGGGGTCAACCCCCGGAGCTGTTTTCACACATCTGTTTTTTTTTATTTCGTCAAGTTCAAGGCGGCACGCTCGCTTTTTTGGCGCCCTTTCGGCTATGGTCGCTTCTCTAAGCGTCAGAACAGGTCCCGAAGAACCCACTCTACGTGCCTTAAGGATAGGTCCCTGGCTTATCTGTTCTGCTACAGAAACGGTTCAATTTTACATGGAGACCAATAGCAGAGTTGGTTTGTAAGCAAAGAAGTGTGTACACGATGACCACAAATCAACAATTGTAGGGCTCTGTTTTCTTTCAATGGATGGAGAGTTTTGTGCCAAGCTTGCGCTAGGCTTGACCATAGCACAGATTGCAATCACGAGAGCCATCAGCTCGAGTTCTTTGGGGGGAGCGAAGCTCCATTTGGGGTGTGGGGGGGAGGGGAGGAAGGTTTGCAATGTATGGGGGAAGGCTCAACACCTTTTTGCGTTTTGTGAGCTTTTTCACCCCTCAATTTCGGGGCCGCATACCCCACATCCCCAGCATCGTGGGCATGGAAACGATTTATTTCCTCCCGGACTCTTCCCCGAACGCACAGATTTTGTGAGCCCCTCTAGCATGCCTGCAAATCATTGCACGCCTGTCGCGTGCTTTGGGGACTGCTACTCCCCCAAATGCGCAGCCTGCGAATCTTTGCGTGACCAAACCCATGCCGAGCCACTCCTCAGAAGCCCTGCGTGTTTCTTTTGGGAGCTGCCCCTCCCCAAAAGCACGGCTTTTGGGAATGCCTGCAAATCTTTGCGTCGCCCAAACCCGTGCCTGCTGCGTTTTGGCCGCCCTCCCAAAAGCACAGTTTCTGGGAGCCCGCAGGGATTGGTCAAGTCGGCTGGCTCGAGTTTGGTTCTCTCAGGTATTAAATGGAGCTGTGCTGAAGCAGCTGCAAGACAACAAACAACTTGCCCGACCCCACCTGCAAACACAAAGATCACGAATGACAACACCAGGGCTGGGGGATCACCCGATTCAAGAAGGTTGTCCATGCCAACACCAAGATTATCATTCCGGAAGGTCAAACATGGCAACAGGGCGCCGGGGGTTTGGTAGTGGCAGTTGGTTGAACGGCTCTCAAGAGGTTTTCTACCACTGGCGCCCAAGTGAAGACAGGGTACGACACCTTCAATTGCCGAGGGTTAGGGCTGCGAACAAATCTTGCGGGACCTAATCAAATGCTAAGTGTTTGAGTCGCTTGCATTGACCAACAAATGCGTCCAAGCGAAGCGAAAAGTCAATAAAGAGATGTTTCGCCTTGAGCAGGCTACTATCACGCCAACTGCATCCAGCAGCACGGGGCTACCTGGCGCACATGGCTGGCGCAAAACACTCTGCAAACGAGAACGATTGTTTTTTGGGGGAATCCCGTTATGGTCACTTGTAAACGAATACTACCAAATTGAACCCCATATTAGTTTTGGGTGCCCCTTTTTTGAGACTCATCACGAGGCTGACCTAAACAAAATGCGGCACGAGTGGCGGAGACACAAGGTGAGGAAGGTCGAGCCAAACTTGTGTTTTCTTGCAAGCGTGCAACGGATCGAAGCAAAACGCCTGTTTGTCCAAGTCCCCGTTTTAAGGCCACGGCACCAAGAGAGAGAGAGAGAGGCGATGTTTCTCCATGCAAACGGTTGAATCCGAAACATTTTCGTAGTGTATATTTGACCCCTGGTGTCCTTTCGCGTGGCTCAGGTGACGTACTTGCCCAAGTCCTTGCACCATCCCACCTCGACTGCACCCTGGCAGAGCAGCTTGTGTTTAAGATCTTGTTACCTTCCACGGTTGCATGAGTAGGTTCGGAATGAAAGGGTTCCTGCTGCCGGCTGGCTGCTGCCCATGGCTTTGCACGGGCAGCAGGCCCTTCCGAAATCCTCCTGGAGTTGGAAGATGACTATCGACTTGTTGACCGTAGCAAGCACCAAACGCATTTTGGGCGCCAATAGTTGGCCACCTCCCCTACCTTGGGCTAAGATAGAAGGGTAAATCGAGCCTCAAAACCCCCAGTTTTCCTGCTGCGAGGGCCGGGGGATTGCATTTGGTTCAAACCGGCCAAGGTTTGAATTCCAAACTGGTTGGTTCTGGGGTAGACTCAGGATACATGTTAAAACTTAGCAGTGACTCAAAGTGAAGCAAGCAATAAAGTAAACATATAAGTGGGCCGAACTCTAATCATGGGATGTGGTTGGTTGGTTGGTTGGTTGGACATTCAAAAGTTTTCTTCAACCGTGTGTCACGAGGCATTTGCCATGCTGACGGCCTTCTTCCCGAACTTTTGGCCCGTCAGCGTGGTGGAGGAAACCACCTGGTCAATGCCAGACGAGTGATTCGGACCCAATTGGGAAATGCCACATGGCCATGCCGAGAAAACGGTGGTGCCAGTGCACAGCAATACTTAGGCTGTTTTTTCCTAGATGCTAGCTGAGAAGCCCGGATTCTGGCAGGATTGCGGTCAACATTACGGTATTGCGCTACTGTTTTTGGAATTGACACTCTTGACATCCTAGCCTTTCAAGATGGCTCACCTGGCTCACATATCATGCGTGTGAACTTTGTTAGCGTGTGTGCTAGCTGAACACGTCATTGACTGCAACGAGAGGCAGCTGGCGAAAAAAGTGATAGGCAAGAACCACACGTCACTTTTGGAAGGACCTTGCAGCTTCCAACATGGAAAGCATTTGACAGATTCAGATTCAAGTTCATGTCTAGCGCAACAACTGCTGAACATCATACAGGGTTGGTTGAGGAGTGTCAAGGTTTGTCATGTACAATGATAAGGAAGAAACATGAACTATAGCGTTGAACAGCTGTTTGACAGTGTAAGTCCCAAACAATACGGAATCAGATGCACCACCGGTTTATTGCGGACCTCACTTGGGCAAAGAATCCGAGCTTTGCGATACATCGGTCTCACAAAGTAGATCGCATACCCCCACTCCACATGCAGCGTTTGCTTCTGGAAGCCGGGGTGTCGAAACCGCGCAGATCCATCCGTATTGGGAGGGTCATGTCTCACCATCATTAGCCGGTTTCTTCAGACCGGAATGGCCTGGACAAAACCACAGCGACCAGGTCAGCACGATCTAAACAAGATACGTGCTGCCGACGTGCTGCCGGGCATCCACTTTGCACGTATCCGAGTCGGGTTCCCGGATTCCAGGTTCGGCGCCTCGAAAAGAAAGGCGACTGAGATTCGGAACATCTTGGCGTCTGGGTATGGAACCCTGATCCGAATCTGGCGATGGCTTGATTGCGTCGCGTTTAGTTTTCCGATTTCACCCGAGCTTTGTGGAAGCATCGCTGCACAGCCGGGCTGGCAGACCAACAAGCATTAAGACTCATTGAGTATTGTTTGGCTTGTTGTGGGCAACCCAAATGAGACTCACGCATGGCGGAATCTTCAGTCACCCTACCCCATGTTTAGAGGAATCTCCTTTTGGGCATTGGACTCGACCCCTTTGGGGTTCCTTCCGTGAGCTTGGAGAGAAGGAAGCTGCCGACGTGCACAGCCACGCCGTGATCAAAAGGCCCATCGATGCGGTCGAAACAATGGGGTGGCTCGTCTTTGTCAAACCAAACGGACACAGGGGTTCGTGGTGGATCGCACAAGTGCTATGAGATGACCTATGGGGATGTCCGAGTTTTCAGGGGACCTCCCAAAATTGTGAGTTTCCTTGTAGTTTCCTAAAACCCCAGAAAAGAGAAAGCACTCCTTAAAAAACAATTGGAGAGTTCTCCTATGAATAATTGGAGGTTTCCTCCAAGAAGTGTTTTGAATCCAACCACTAAAGGGAGTTGGTCCCCCTATTAATCAACCAGGGTTTATTAATCCGAAGTTTCCATTACTGTACCATCATCATTTCTCTTTTGCCGAATTGATTTTGTCCAGACACAGTGCCATCTCCTTTACTACAATGGACCCGTGAGAATTGAACGTGCGATTTTTGCTTGACGAGCTTCTGGCCTTTTTCCCAATATCGCGAACCCCCCTTGTAGCCACATTTGGACTTTTGCCCGTCCTTCGATGCCAACAACCATCCAATTAAGAAGTGAGTCCAACCAATCCAGGAAGGGCTTTGCAGAGGTGGAAAAACAATTTCATTTGGTAAGCTTTTAGACCATGTGACATCTCCTTTTGGATCAACACCCGAACAAGCGATGTGCTGCAAGGCGGGTCCCGCTATACGTCCGGTTGGGCGCAGGCAGGTCTCTCAAACACACCTTTTTCAGGATGCGGAATATGGGAAGGTTCGAGGCTGAAATCGAAGTCCGGTACCCGGTACAAGAGGCGACTAGTTGTGGCAGCCGACGCAAGCCTTTCGATTAGAGATTTACACTTACAGGCCTCTCCGAAGGTCCATG